ACGCAGTAGGTAAGTCAAACGCTCAGACCGCTATTCAGATTTTGTTAACATTTACCGTTTACCGCAAAACACGAGCTTTCACCTTTTATGGTATGTGTTTTGTCCACAAACGACGAAACCTCTAAAACATTTGAAAAACCAAAAATGTGTTCTCCGTTACGTCTCTTATACTTGCCTCGTTTTCCATTCGGCGTTACGCCGCCTTTCCCGACCAAGTCACATTCGCTCCGAGTTTTACATACCGAAACACAATCCAACTGAAAAGTCACGGTATCCCTTAACCTGATTTCTCTAATTAAAGTCCTATTACATTGGCTCCAAACAACCAGCATCCATGTTCCACAGTTGGTCACAACAGCTAGTCAGGCCCCTGAGCGCCTAAATACTTTTTCATACGACAATAGCTTGGATTCTTCGTGGGACAAGGATCGTCTTGGCCTTGGACGGGGGGGCGGTGGGGGAGTGAGACCTTCCAAGCGCACCGTCAGAGGAAATGTCCCGTCGGCCTTTATCCTGGACTCGCCAACTTTCGCAGTTGGACGAGACTGCCCCGACGACCCACTGAGTATGTATCCCAGTCAACACACAAATAACAAGGAAGCTTGGATTCAGCATACTCCAGGCGCCCCCTTTTTATCCACCTGCGCTTGCTACAATTGCTACCCAACTGTCCCATCCTCATTTTGTCTCTACCTAACATCCCAATTGTATGCTTCCCTCATTCAGCCTCCTAAGAGTGGAGGTGAACATGAAACATTCATATGTTCAGTATTTTGAAACATTAAATGTTATTCTTCCGATCGTCCATTTGTTATACTGATGGTACTATTCCAGTCACCTGCTCTCTCCTCGTGAGTCGCGCTGTCACACTGCTGTCCGCTCTTACTTACTTATCTTTCGTAAATACACGTTGGGTCTAAATGATCTAACTGTTCTCCGTATTACCCTACTAGACACGCCTCTTAAGTACCACCGCTTGCGAGTAGTAACTGAGCGTCACCCCACAAGTTCATTGAACAACGTCGAACACGCAGGCTATAAAGTAGCTGGGGCCAGCTCAGTCATCGGCTACATTTGTAGGTCGATGATGCCAAGGGAATCTAGACGTTCCTTGTATAAATTCTGCTCTCGACCGATTTTAGAAAACTGCTCATTTGTATTTACTAACTCCAAGGAAATTGACAGAATGGCAATAGAAAGAATGCAAAACTCATTTTTAAACGCCTATTGGAATGACCTAGACCAGACTATCGCGGTAGTTATAAACAGTTTCAGCCAGATCCATTGTGGCTACGCAGTCCCGATCCTACCCATGTGTCTCCATCCCAGATGCGGAACAACTCCAGTTTGAACAACGAGTTCTTATTTTAAGATAGCAAGAAGGAACAATTTTCCAACAGAATACTCTGAATTCAGATATTTCTGGTATTCTCATCAGCTGTTAACATATAGCCCATGGAAAAATGGTGTACTTGTGGTAGCAATTACGTGGGCCGAAAGGAGAGAAAACTGTCAACCAGGATTTCAGAGCACATGCCATGTAAATATGGTCATGAACGGTCCCAAGCTGCCGGCAAGCTTCATTGCCCAACACACATCCATAAGCCAAAATCTCCGTGAAACGTATAGGATAACAAACCGACAGAGCAATCACAGCCTGCTTGAGCGATTCGGCAGCTGCAAACTAATTTATGCAAACAGACTGAGTTTGTGACTAGCCTCACCTTGCCTTGGTAATTTTTCGAATGATTGTTTCAACTCTAAATGGTATGATGTTCAACATTCTCTTTTTAAACGCAACACCACTTTCGCACGAATTGTATGTTAACAGCTGATGAGAATACCCGAAATATCTGAATTCAGTATCCTGTTGGAATGTTGTTTCTTCTTGCTATTTTAAAATCTGTCAAGAAAATTCTGAGTTCGGCGGAACGAGGATAGGCGTTACTCGTTATGGAACAATGGCACATTGGGGGTGAAAAAGCAATGCTTGACAAGTCCCGTGGAGTGGAAAGAAATTAGAAAAGGTGCCGAAATAAACAGTGCTTTGGTGAACAGCATAGGGTTCACATTGAGACGAGTAAAAAATCCGAAATATGCACATGATAAATCTACCTGGTTGGAATTTTGGGAACACATCGCTTAGTTGCGTTATTAAGCCTCCTGGATAGCAAAATTTACGAAAAGAGATGCAAGTGGGACAATACTTTGTCAACTCATGTATTAACTTGTTAGCAGAATGCCTAATGGACATATATTTTGGTTACAGTTGTTAATTACTGGATTGCGCCTCGCTTCTGTTTGCTTTTCGAGTTTGGTGCAAATGCACTATTTCCTTAATTTCGTACGTAATGGATCCCATTTTCACCAATATCATATTCTCGGACAAACGTGATTGCTTCTTACTTCTGCCAGCTAACATTCACGTGTTATTTAGTACCTTCTATGTTATGCTGGAGGCTGAAGCAACATAAATTGTGAGAGCATTCCATGGCTAAAACACCCGAACGGAGGAGAAAGTTCGACGACATTCTAGTCGGCTTTACTGCACGGTCAGTGTTAATTGATTACAGCTTAAGTTAGTGTTGGGGTTCAGTTCCAGCAGAAAATGCGGTTTGGGTTCTTCTGAATCTAATAAAAGATTGAGGTACCGGCATGCGCAGAAATCGACGTAATATAAGATGGCAGGGCAGACAGAAGAGGCCTCTAAGGTTTTTGGATGCATTTCGTTGAGAAGTCTCGAGAGCAGCAACAACTTCTACCAAGAATACCCCACTTGGATGATACATTTCACGTGCGGCCACACATAGGCATCAAGCATTTGTGTGTGTGTGGGGGGGGGTCAAACTGACCGAACGCTCTGCGAAGATGGACGACATATTGACTGCCGGTCCTCGACGATTTTTCAGATGGTTTCGAGCAGCCGAAGACTTCTGCGAGGTGTGTTCTCCAAGTTTGCATACACTCACCGGCTGATAACACAGGTGGCAATTAGATGTGCCAAACTGCAGGCGGCTCCTTTTTCCCCAAGTAATGAACACAGTCCAGGCTAAATTTAGCACTTTCTATGCAAGCACAAGTATGAGACAATGCCTGCGGTGCGCCATACAGAGCGTGAGACGCACTAGACAAACGCCGGTCTTATATTACGGCCTTCAGTTAGACGAAACAGACACCATTCACTTCTAAAAGTAGTTGGAAAATGCTGAAGCTTCGGCAATAAAGCTAGACGATACGATTATTCAAACGTTGTGATGCTCGAGAAAAGCCCAAGTAAACCGATTACCAAGTTATTACAAGTGACTCAGTTCGAACACCAGGAGAATTCAATCAGATCAAGAAGCGTGTCCACATAAGACGAAAGCCACGCCACTTAGGCCTAATGATATCTCAATGATGCTTAAGGGTTCGGCGGCGGTAGCCAAAAGACATACGAGTGCTAGGATAGATGATGAGATTGGGACGAGTGCCTTTATTCATTATGAAATGATCTGTTCCCGTAACACGAGAATCCGTTCCTGTGATAACGAAACCGGAAAATATGGTCCCTGATTCCCGGTTAAGTCTGTGAAACAGTTGTGAATTCCGTTCCCTATGGACTATGTATGCACATAGACATCATGGTACTCGGTTTGTGGCGTTTGTGAGGAAGGAGCTATGGGTGTCGTTGTGGTGATGGAACACATTTATTCCACTCCCCGAAGAATCAGGGGATTTGTATGATGAACTGAATCATCGCAGACTGCCCAGGATGAAGGTGTCTGTTTCGCAGATTGTAATGACGTTTGCCACTTCTAAGTGCAAGGTATTATTCTTGCAGAACTGGCTAGAAACAGCTTCTACCCTACCCCGCCCCGACTCTTCTCTAGAAGTAGTCGATAAGCTCGTTTACATGACCGCTAGTGGCTTGAATTACTGGGCAGCAGCTTATGTCACTGAGCCATGCGGAACGATAGCCGACCGTCACGGATTGAGATCTAACTGCGATATAGCCCGACCCATCCTCCACCGCCATGCAGAGGACAGTGCTTGGCCGTCCGGGTCGAGACTTCCTTTGCCAATGCCGTGAATCTACACAGCACGTAATGGTGTTTACTTACTGGTGGAAAGCTACTGGACTTCGACCGGACCAATCATCCTAGATAGGCAACAGTTCAGATTCGGGGATCCAAATCTCGGTAACATTGTGCCTCAACGACGCTCATAATATGATCTAATAAAGTGAATTCTGGAGAATCGAAGGTTCAAATACACCACTGGTGCAAACAACGTGTGGCTTCCTCGCTAGTATGACCGCGGAAAGCAAAGATCCTCTCCTAATGGATAGCATGAGAAGATGCTGCAAAAAGTAGGGGGAAGGGTTGTGAGACCCTATCAGTAAATGATACTCGCCATTCAAGCAGGAAGTGTCACAAATAGATATTTGCTCGAGTCATCCAAACCGGAGCCTTTAATGCGACAGTCTGAGCCACAAGACAAAGTAGAGCAGATCTGGCCCAGGTGTATGAAATTAACGTCCCATAAGTTCTACTTGAGAACGGTCATAGGTTAGTAAGGTCAGAAAAAATATTTGCGTTCCGTAGTCATACCGCAATGCAAGCTTTGGATTGCAAAAATTCGCAACTCGCTGGCGAAGAGCCGTTTAGATCGATATGAGTAATAGCGAACTAATGAGCGATGGATGTTCTCATCTATCGTCAGGGACACACGTCGGTGTTTGTCATTCACGACAGTCGGGCAGAGTAAACTGGGCATCCATGGAAGATAACTGGAGACTAAGCCTGTGGCACCCATAACTATTGTGCAGAAAAATATGAGTAATGCCGTAGCGGGAAGCAGAGTTTCATGCAATAATAGCCGGGATAAGGCAATTAGGAGACCACCGTAGTGTGTTACGTTTCAGTTGCTTGAGGATTACGTTGACTGGAAAAATCATAAGCAAATGTGGTTCAATGGTATGAACACAGATGGAAGGGAAGATACACTTGGAATAACTGCAATTAATTCTGTTTATGGTTTATCAAGTGCATAGAAATGCCCAGCATAGACCGTTGGTATGGTGATAGTCCAAAGGTAAAAAAGCATAAACCAATGACACTGAGGGTGAACATTGAAAAACATTGAACCGCGGTGTGCATCAAAAGGAATACACACGAAATGACGACAAAAACAGATCCTGAGATAAGGAGTTTGTGACGCAACTGCGTACGAGAACCGTGTTCGTGAGTGAGGGATTTGGACGGCCATGGACCGATGTACAAGGTCACCACAGTCAGCAGAGAGTACATGATGAGCAAAGAAGCATCCATCGAGTCAGGCAGGGAACGGAATAAGATATGGACCGCGACGAAACCGCTTGGACAATGTGTATGGGAAGGAAAAAAGAAAGGACAGAGTTTGAAGCAGAGTACAGGTGGGTTTGTGGCAAAAATTAATGGCTGTTAGTGTTCCAAAAATGTCGGGTTAGCTCATCACAATAGGTAACGAACCGATGTCATGGAAACTGGGTGAGTTGAACAAAGTGGATGTCTACGAGAAAAGTAACACAAACTACCACTGCACCAGGAGGCTGCTTTTTTCTTCGTAATCCTGTGAAGCAGCTTGCTATCTGTGAGGCGAGACCACAACGATTAGAGTGGGAATAAGGTACGTGTTTGTTAAAGTAATCTCGGCTGTCTAGTTTCTGTATTTAGGGTCGGGAAAGGCAATTGCTGTTTTAAGAAACGCGTAAAGTGGTACATGCATCGAAACCGATTCCACGGAAGATTTGGGCAGACAATAGGTTAGTATTTTTAGACAGACAGCAACCAACGTGACTTGAAGCCTAACAACAGGGGTCGCGTTCAACACCACCTTTTGGTTGCTTACAGAGAAAGAGGAAAGCAAGCGCACAGTAGCTGAGATGTTTTCGACCTGTAGATAAGGTGCATAATGATGAATGATGAGAGCATCGTCAGTTCATAAAGCACCTATTCAAGTCAAGTCAAAGTAGGCTTTAGGCACCCGGGAAGGTGCATTTGCAGCATGTTACACTATAACTGCGGATGGTAGTGTACGTAAAATTACTTTTACAGAAAAAAAACGCGTAATAAGCTCTACTCATGTCACTCGAGCAAATAATTTCGCAAATAATTGCAGGTTTCAACGTAAGAATGAGCCATACGAATAATATCAACACTTTAGAACATTCAACTTGAAAGCAACAGCCACAGGCAGCTGAATCAAACATTAGATCAGAATGCAACAAGAAAGAGGTATGTGATAAACAGAAAATAATGATCCAGAAAAAACTGGCAAATCCAACGATTGAACTAGTGATGTCATCTCGTAGTTTGGATAAACAAATCAGACGTGATATTAGCAGCCAAGAAGCCAATCAGGTGAACCCAGGTGAGCTGGTAACAATCGCATGGGTCGGAGGGGTACGGGAAGAATAAGTTCGTTCAAACAGGGAAAAAGCGTAGTTGAGTCTGAACGGAAACGGATGAAAGGCAGGTGAGCGCTAGCGAACTTAAGCTGATTACAGGGAATGCAATGGCAGCTGGTTAAATGAGCGAACAGAATCGAAACGGAGAGTAAACGAAAATCAAATCAAGCGCCACCCAAATTAGTTGGTCCGTCACAACCAGACTGTATGGTAATGTAGTGCGATAGTCTGCGTACCACCATGACCGCATAACCACGTCCAATCCGACCACGTGAAATTTGTTTTAAACTTTTGTGTCCTGGCGGTACCACTTTGTTTAAATCGTAATATTGCTTCAGTGCAAGCGTCATTCCTGCCGGCATTCGGGAGGATACGTACAACAGTCTTCGGCCAATAAGTAAACAATGGCCAAAACTCCGATACCTTGCTCTACAGTGTGTGGAGTAAAGTTTTGTGGTTCATGTCGAGCTATAGGCAAATTAATTCAGGATTCAAATGGTTAAGGAAAGGTCGATGGCTTTCTCTCTTTAAAACCTAGCCATGGGAGACAATAGGTCTATAGGTTATAAGTTCACAGCTCGATTGGCGTACAGCACTGACGCCACGCAGTCTCTGAAATTGGGAGGGCACCTTCCGGTGCTCAAACGTTTGCTATCGCCCGTCGCAAGCCAGGCAGCCCCTGGTCAAATAGGTGCTAACCCACCAACTCCTACCTATGGTTGGCCGTGGTTGCAGGTGTGTAACATAATACGGTCGTAAAACCCAAGTGCATTGTTCTAAATCTTCAAAGGCCGTGTATGACAGGCCACAAGCAGATCCCGACGGGTCACTTCAGCTACACTCCCAAGCTGGACTTGCTCCCCACATTCTTCTGGGTCAGATTTTGAGCCGGAGGATCCGTGTGGAGTCCACATCCCCCACTGTCTTGTGGGTCAAGTAGTTGAATCAAAGACTAGAGGTAGGGTACCTCTAACAAACCCCTCTGTTAGGGTAGGCAGCCGGGGAGTTCGATCTCTTTGGGTCCGCCGAACCCGGATCAACAGACCAATGACGCTTCATGCGCGTTTGCCGGTTACTGCCGCGGCCTGCGCATAGCCTTCACAAATATTTGTAGTTTAGTAAACAAATGTGACGATGTCCTTAGTTTCGTTGCCTCACGTCATCCGGACGTACTAGGACCGGCCGAAACTTGGTTAAACCCTGAGGTCACGACCCAGGAAGTCCAGATCAGTCGCTCCTCGTGCTTCCGGTGCGACATACTATCAAACGATCGATGCGACGTGCTGTTAAACATTCGGTCCTCGCTGTGCGAAAGACTGGTACATACCTACCGTAGCGAAGATGGCTTGTGCGAACAGTTATGGTGCTCGATCCGCTTGAGACAGGGTGCGGCTTATCGAAGCCCGCGAAGCCGATGCCTGGATTGGTTGCCGCATGCCAGAAACTACATGAGCCTGCTCCACTTCCTGCTTATGGGTAATTTTAACTTCCCTCTAATACAGTGGCTTGAGGTTCAACTTCTCCCCGGAGCACTGTGAAGTCGAGGCACAGTTTGCGGAGATAGTATTTGAAACTGAGGCAGCACAACATGTCTGCCAACCGACGCGCGTTACACCGCATTCCGCTCCATCGTGCCTGGCTCTACTACTAACGAGTTGCGAGCAACGTGTACATGAAACTCAGGTCTTGGCGCCTCGGGCAGCTAGTGACCACTCGATGGTGTTAGTCAGCCTAGAGCTGCCGCTGCCCTACTAGCGTCTGCCGGAGCCGTCTTAAAAGTATTGGAAGACCGACTTCAGTGGTCGAAATCGAGCCGCCCTTGAAGTAGGCTGGTCGATGCCACAGCATTCATCTGTTGAAGCCTGTTGGTCAGTTATAAAAGTGGGTGTGCAATCGCTGTGGGCTCGTTTAGTACCACTTAAGTATCGGAAAGCTTGACCAGTTAAGCCACATTGGTTCGACAGAGAGTATAGTCAGTTGGCCTGACGGCGACGCGAATTGTTGAATCAATTCCTCTTCTCTGCTTCTGCCGGCGATTATGAGGCTTCCAAAAAGCAGCGGAATCTATGCAACAGCTCAAAAGCGTCAGGTAGTTTGTAGAGGATCTTGCAACTTCAGCAAAGACGGCCCCCAAGAAGACTTTGCTTACGTGAAGCGGCGCCTGAGGCCAGCAATTGACGTTGCGGTGTTAGAGGGCACTGACGAATAGCCTCTGATCTCCAGCACTGAAGGTGCGTCCGCATTGGCGGAGCACTTCGTTTCCGTATATACAAGTGGGCATGCGCCTATGCCGAGCTCGACGTGTGCAGTCCCTACTGAACTCGAGGTCCTTGATTGCGGTGTAGATGTCCACAGTCTACTCGCCAGTCTTGATGGCACAAAACCTGCCGGACCCGATGGACTTCATCCGCTAATTTCGAAGTCCTTATCGGTCATCATCTCGCCTGCTGTGACGGATCTATCCAACAGATCGCTGTCCGAGGATGCATTGCCGAACGACTGCAAATGATCAGTAGTGAAGCCGATTCCAAAAGATGGTGACCCACGCAATGTGGACACTTACCGTCTGGTGCCTCTCACCTCTATTTTGGCGAAGGTGCTCTAGGAGATTGTGAAAGTGGGTCTTCCCCAGCTGCTGTAGTCGAAAGATACCCTAACGCCGGCACAGCATGATTTCATGAAGGGCCGTTCGTGCATCACCAACCTGCTGTTATCGAGGCAAGAATGGTTGCAAGCGTTGAATCGGGAGAAGTCAGTGATTTCAGTAGGATTGTCGATAAACTGAACTATGAGGTTCTGTTCTATAAGCTGAGGATGTGTGGTATTGGTGGTGCACTGCAACAGTTGTTCAGTGACTTCCTTATTGGCAGAAGATGGTGGGTTCAGGTGGATGACCACTTAACGGATTGGTACCTGTCCACTAGCGGCGTACCTCAGAGCACAGTACTTGGGCCTATTTTATTCCTGATCCACATCAACGAAGTACCTCAGCTTCTTCGGTCTCCCTGCGTATTATTTGCGGATGACCTGAAAATTTGGAAGATTCATGATTCTCCCAGCGACTGTGACGTCCTTCAGCAAGCCCTGGAGCGTCTATCCCGGTGGTCTGCAGAAGTAGACCTACCGGTCAACATGGCCAAGTCCTCGTTTATAAGCCTGAAAGGGGTAGTAATGGGCGTGCGTACACTTTGACCAACCATCCGCTGCACCCAATTAGTTACGTAAAAGATCTAGGCGTACTCTCACGCTGTGAGTTGAAGTTTGCCGATAACACAAACAGACTGTATGCAAACGGACTACGCCTGCTTTGCGCACAGACTCATCTTCTGCACTTGGTCTGAAGAGACTGCCACCTGTCTGTTATCTCTTCCCTAATAAGACGAGACTTGAGTACGGCTCACGCGTCTATTGTCCGACCACAAAAGGTGAGGTGCAGAAACTCGAACGGTCCAGCATGTAGCTACCCGGCTGATCCCCAGTTTATGGAGTATGTCCTACGAGGACCGATGTGGGAGACTAGGGCTTTATACCGTCATATCGTTGGCTTCGAGTTGACCTCACTATGACGCACCGGATACTGCACCTGGACCACTTCCCTATGTTGAAGCCGCTGCTGCACGTTCGCGCACCAAGCAACACACGCGGACACCGGTGCAAACCAGTGGTACCGGATTTCAAGCGCATCACTCATCCCCTATGCTTCGAGCGTTGTGTGTTGAAATAGTGGAACTAATTGCCGGAGACGCCAGTCGAGGCGAACTTGGTGTCGGAAGTTAAGAGATTCATTGACGCCCATTTTGCATACTACATAGATAAGGAGCGTATGACACTGGATAAAGTGTAGTGCAGCTGCAATATGCTGCCACCGCGCAGGAAGCAGCGACGTGATTCCGCGCATGTGCCCGATCCACCTACGATGGAGCAACAC